CCCCCCCCCCCCGGCCAGCAAACGAAGATGTCGGGGACCATTTCTCCGAGAGATAGGCTGCAGCTCTGGGTTAATACATTTTTGCTAAAGCAAAAGGAAAACTCAGGTAGCGTAACCGCTACCTTTCGTGACATGTCACAACTGACCAACTCTGTTGGAAGCAGCGTGAAGGAGTACGAAGCTCGATAGGTCATGCGCATAGACCTTTACATATGGTATAAAGCACGGCCGATGATGTTTGTGAACAAACCATTCAAAACGCCTTCACACATGTTATTTGCTTGACGCTGTTCTTGCCCGAAGAAAGACCTTGGGAGCCCAAAGAGCTGGGTCCTACTCGGCCGATCTCGGCACGGCCGATCTCAGCTCGCGGCGGGATGTCGAGCTTATGGTCCACCCTCTCCGGTGGCAGGAGATCCTCCGGTCCGGACGAGTCATCCACCGAATCAGAAGGTGACGGCTGCAGCTTCCTACCAGAGTGACCCGGGGTTCATTGCGTCGGCCTGGAGCGGCGCCTGCGAAGTCCTGCGGCGAACTCTACAAACCTCGGTTCCCACAAGTTTCTCTGGTTCCTCCATGTTCCTCCTGGTTCCCAGGTGATACAACTACTTTTGATCAAAGACCTCTTGCATGCTTGTCACCCCAGAAAATCTGGCAGTGTGTAACATTGGGCATCCCTACAAGCACGAGTACTAGTCAAACAAGTCAGCCCGTGGCAGTGTGTCACAACTGCGTGAAATCGCACAATCAGTGAGCCTCACTGAGTTCCATAAGGTTGGACCTCACTGAGTTCCATTTTTGGCAGCGTATTGCTTCCAGCTAGCAAGATACCGCTCCTGGTCCATATCGATCTTGCTCAAAGGTTCCATCTCCTCGCATGACGCTGGATGACGGGGGATGGAATTATATAACCAGCCACCTGAATAAACATGTTGTGAGTGGATTTCACCTGGGCACAGTGTTGGAAAGGTTGCGATCTGTGGATTTGGCTATGTCCCAGGTGCCGGCACCTGGGGGATCAACAGAAAGGGACTGATACTGATGGACGGAGTGTCACTCCGCCTCAGTACAGACAAGTGCTGAAGGTTCACCTCCTTAAACCGGCGTACAAACATGGAAGCAAATGTATGGTCCCGATATGAAAGTAACACAAAGAAATTATGTATACAGTACGTATGATGATCTTTTGGAAGGCCTGTCTGCAGCCCACCCCAAAGTTGCAGCACAACAGAAATCCAAGTTCCCTGGCCCCGTTTCTGGTGAAAGGCTGCCGCGGGTGGAGTATAAAGGGCGGAACATCGTGGCGAAACGTCTGACCAATCTCTTCTGATCGTCGTTTGTTTGGGTCCGGCAACTGAAGCAAAGAAGTTGTGAGAAGTCATATTATGATATCTGGATGATACTGTACAGTATCAACACTAGGATGACATAGGAAGGAATACCGTGGAAAGCATCCTGCGGAAGACTCCGATCCTTTTCGAAACTGCGCGGCCTGGGCGCAGATGTTAAGCTGGGCAGCTGGTGCGAAGCCGAAACGCTGAGGATGCTGCGTGGTTGAGCGCGTCAAACCAGTGCACAAGTCCATGGTCAACCAAACTGATCTCATGAGAACGCCTCATTAGCCTAAAGTCCTCAAAAACGTCCAAGAACATTGCCTCGAAGTTGCTGGCCATGTTCACTCTTCTAACAGGGTCATCAGGAGGTATGACGTATGGACAGGTCCTGCGCCAAGGCTCGTCGGGTATACAGCATCCCTTTTCTCTCGCCTCTGGTGTTCAGGTCTGTCTCATATAGACTCAAAAGGAAATAGATGGTACCCTCAGACCCTCAGGAACGCTGCCCTTCAAAAGAGGTACCCGATAATTCTCTTGGAAAGGACGCCGACAAATGTCGGGGCAAACATTCGGTTGAATAATCAGGACACGATCCTGAGTGTGCCGAAACTGGTTCTTTAAGAACCGTCGGGAGCTGCGTCTAGGGATCCATGGCCACATATCCCCCAGAGACTTTTTGGTTGCTTTGGCCATGTCGATAGCCCACCAGGTACACGACCGTGATGGCCAAGGCTGCTAGAATGCACTGAGCAGCCATTGGTGAAGTTCCCTCTGAGGCAACAAGTTCTGAGAGCCTGGAGATGTGGAACAAGTCTGGAGATCTTAGGTTGGAGGCCATCGCTATTAAAGGAATCCAGCGGACTCCTGAACCAGTCTGGATCGTCTGCGATGGTTATGTGAATGGATCTTCCGGTTGCGAAGGTGTGTGGCTCTGGGCAATCGAAGCACATCAGTCGATTGAATGTAAGAATCAACGACAGGAGAGTGATGGAGAGAGTAATCTGCAGAAAAGTTCCTTCCTTGATCCTTGATCAAGTCGAGAAAACGATAAACACGTGAGCAGTGGACTGCCCTACAGGTCTCAGGGATCTACATCTAGGAAAGTCCAAGAGATCAAGAGTGAATATATCGTATTTGCATTGGATGGTTCAATGAGCGGCTTGGTTATGATTATTGGTGTAGAAGGTTTCGTGCTAGCACTGTGCACTGTGCACTGCGTCCTCAAACATGGTATGAAACTGGGTTACTTGTGCGGCAGTTATTTGTTATAAATATCGAGTCCTTGCAGCACTTAACCGCTAGGCGGAAGTGGTCTTCCGCTGCTTTCCCCAGTGGATCATGTTGACATTTCGTGCAAGAGTCTCTCATTGGCTCCCCTCTCCCACGGCAAGTTTACACAATCACAATCACACACAAACCATGAGAAAAAAGACAAGTCTTGAACACTGCAACAATATGACATAGTATGACTGTCTTGTTGCTATCTTGTTGGGTTCCGCTCCCTTGGTCGATTCTGAAGCGGCCCCAACCACCGCAGACTGGGTCGCCCCAGTACCCCCCACCTGTCCAGAATCCCATGGAAAGGCCCTCGCGACGACCATAGGGTGAAGCCCACGTCGGGGCTTTCAAGCCACCAAGCGGGATACATCTGACCAATGTAGTTGACCCCTAAAGTCTCCGACTCGTTGTAGGTCACCACCAGTCGGCCGTACCTGACAGAAGTCGCACGGAGAGCCGCGGAGGTGCTGCGGCATGGAAGGCCAAGGGTTGGCAAGCCCTCCCCGCTGCCGAGCTCTAACTCCGGAATTCTGTGTGGCTAATGATGAATACTGAAGATGAAGTCTAGGACTTTCATGGACTTTGAAGACTTCAGGTCCTGATTCTCTGCCTGAGTTCTAGCCGCCTAGCCCCTCACGCTGCTTTCAACAAAAAAAAGCTTGGAGACCCTTCCGAAGCAAAGTCCTGAGCAGCTCGACCCACAACGGACCCCGTGTCGCTTGGCATTTTGACCCACTAACTTCTCCCCATCCTTCTGGGAAAAGAACGAGAACATGGGCATGCGCTACAGCATGCTACAGCAGCAAAGCTGCACAGAGTGGATCTACATGATCTGCATGTTCCGTTCAAGGGAGTTGACCCACCGTTCACAAATTTTCTGTGGGGCGGGCATATTATCCCACGAACGATGGATAATGACCGGCAAGGCCTGATGTCCAAACCGATGATGATGTATATACATGTACCTTTACCAACTTTTGCTCGATATGGGACACCCAGAATGCCATCCGAAACTTGCAAGCGCATGCCAGGGCACTTTGCAATGAGTTTCCAGGCCAAGTCCCACCACTCATTCACGCTCTGGACTGCCAAGTGGTTGGAGTGTTCCACCCAAGTCTGAAGGTCACCACTCTCAGACTCCCAAGTCTTCATGGCTTCAAGTGCTTTTTGGTGGATCGAAGCGGCCTTCAGCCTCACCTCCTTGTTGATCTGTCGGAAGTTGAGGTCTGAGTACTGGTTAATCAAATTGAAGGCCCACCATCCGGCATTCCTTACATATTAGCACGGTGGAGGACAGGGACTTGTTATGGTCCATGGTAATTTACAGGTGATTTGTTACCCTGCACATGCCTGGGAACCTACTACGAATCGGAAACATTGAGAACCAATGAATGTGCACTTTTCGCCGCACACATGTACAGTATACACATGACAGGGATGAAAACAGCAACCATCCAATGAGTGACATGCACCACCCTATCTCCCTCGTTTCTCTGCACAAGCTTCGTGTTGAAGGTCGACATGTTAAAGCCATGGTGACAATGCGTCGCTGGCGCACCCTGCTCCGCGGCACCGTAGAAGGGCAGCCAAACGGTGCCATGTGCGGCATCGTAGCCGAACCAGGTCACACTACGTCGCCCAGGCCGAGGCTCCAAAACGTAGGAGTAGGCGGTGCGGAACATGCTGATGGCACGCTCCTCAAAACTGCAGCGCCGGTGGATTGAAGAACAAGCAGCAGGTGCTGATCACATTATAAAGCCAAGGTTCGCAAACGTTGTCAACCACATCCGACAAAATCAACCAAACATTTGCGCCAAATGTGGCCAATGATATTTTCTTGGGACCTGCTACGTAGCTTCATCTTCCAAACATCACGGTTTCCATTCAATTCAAGGACGTTGCAGTATACTTTCGGTAAGGTTCCATAGAGTAATGTTCTTGAACCCTCTCCTCTGACAAATGAACTGGGAGTCAACTGAGTCAACCATATCACCAATAAAGTTGAATATGAGTGGTGAGTACTGAGTCAACTGAGTCAACTGAGTACTGAATATGAATAAAGCAATTATGTTCCTACTAGTCAACTGAGTCAACTTCGACATAATTAATGAACATGTTCCAACACAAACACCTGACGAACAAAGCCTTTAGGATGCAGGTTCCATGTGTGGAACATGAACGGCAACAAATTTGTCCCGACCAGCAAGCCACAAAAAGGTCGAAATCTTGTTCAACAAATTTTGTGGGAGAAAGGTACCACCTCTGCAGATTTGGACTTGAAGCGAAAGGAATCCTGGCAATATGCCTCCCAATAATTAGGGGGTTGGCACACACACGCACACATCACACCGTACTGCACGACGGAATTGCCACCTACCGGCAACTAGCAAACAGCGCACCTCATGCGCACCCTTTTGACCGCGCTGGTCATGAAGTCTCGAGCCCTCCCTTCGACTGCGGACCATGATTGGATGTTGGGTTACCATGGTGATTGCATGGGTCTTCCGTGAACGCATCCCCCATACTTCTCCAATCATGATCCTCAGGCCAGGGCCAGCGGTGCTTTACCGCGAGGAGGTGAACCTGGTTGACGAACTGCTTCGTCATCTCTTCCTGCAACTGTCGCTTCCGCATATTGCGGCCTGACACGAACATAGGCCCACCATTGGCCTCCAGCCAGGAACTGCATCATCATCTTCTTTGCCACTCCCCCCTTGGTAAGGGGGTCTGCCAGCTGTCGGTCACCATTGACCCATCTCAGATTCGTCTGAATCTGCATGGACTGAGCAACTGCCAGGGCCAATTCGTAACCAGACCTTCCGGATCGCAGACCATGGAGGGAGCTGACGTTCCTCGTCATGGCGTCATAAATCCCACGGGAGTCCATGATGAGAGCTCCCTGGGTCTTCTCTCGTACCATCTGGTACAAGTTCTTTCGATCCACCACCTCTCCGCTCATCTCGGCCAAGAGTGCCCTGAGGCGGAAGCAAAGGTCTTCCCCCTCCGTGATGGCCTGGACCTCTGCCCCGTTACTCCCGAGGAGTTGCCGCGGGGTCTTCTGGGAGCGCCAGGTGATCAAAGCCACCTGCTGTGAAGTGCCGTCCAGTATGGACTTTGGAGCACAGCCGCCCACGATGCCCATCGTAGAGCTCTTGTCCGGTCGATTCGAGTTCGAAGCATCGGACCAAACAACTATGCTCAAATCATGCCAAGGCACATTCCAGTGAGGAAACACCAGGGTCTGTGGCACCATGCGCACCTCTCGAACCAGCTTGTTCGTGCGAAGCAAGGTGTCCACCGTGGCATAGGGCACTTCTGAGAGCAGCAGGCCAACATCTGCTTGGAACTGCGGTGCTGTTTGAGAGGCTTGCCACGAGAGCGAACCGATCACTCCCCTGAGTTGACTGATCTCGGAGGAGGTTGCCACTGCCTTTCGGTTCTTTGCTCTCTCCTTGTCCACTTCAATCTCGTCCACCCAGTTCTCAGCATAGTAGTCCGACTGTCCGATGTGGATCTCCTTGTCGTTCTGGGTGATCTGACATCCAGCAAATGTGAATTGCTTCTCCTCCCATCGGCCCCATCGGTAGGATTGCTCCAACTTGGTCTTGGCCTCATCAAACACTGCATTGCCGTCGCATCCAGCCAGAAGGAAGTCATCAACGTGGATTCCAATCATTCCAACCACCTGTGGGCCGGCGACCTCGTCATACCATGCCCTCGGAGCGTGGACTAGGCCATAGAATGCCTTGACCACTTTGAGAGGTAGCACGGGATTTGCCGGATCAGCTCCATACAAGACTGCCAGCTCCGGCGGTGCCCAAACAACCAGGTCCTCATTCTCCAGTGACTTCTTAGCCTGAAGAAAGGCTGATGTGACGTCACCTGAGCGGAGCTTGTATCCATAGTTGGCTGCGAGGCATAGAAGCATGTTCCGGGATATCCGGCTCATAATCGGTGCTGCCGCTTGTACCTGGGTCAGGTTCGGCTGTTGGAAGCCAAGTACCACAAGGCGAGCTTTGGCAATCGAACCTTCGGGTGTCGGTTTGGTTGTGAGCACCCATCGCATTTGCATCACCCTCTTCTTGTCGAGGTGCTTCCATTCAGTATTTGTCAAAGACCGTAGGGCCTTGGACTGGAGGACATTGGATAACTCTTTTGCCTGGGCCATGTCAAAGTCCTGCTTCCGGTCCAGTGAGAGCTCCTGCCATGAATGCTCTTTGCCCTTCTCCTGCATCTTCTTTGATAGGTAGACACCGGCCTTGCGAGGATGCCTCATGAGGAAGACTGATTCTTCCTCTGTGACCTCAATCTCAAGGGCATAGAAGTTCCCCTGTTCACCATCACCTTCAGAGGCTTTCCTCTTCGCCGCTCGGGATCTCCTTGGCTCTTCAATCTTCCTTCTCTTCTCATCTGCCTCAGTTCGGAGCTCTTCGGAAGATGATGACGAGGAGTCAGAAGTTGTGCTCGATGACTCTTGATCTTGCTGGTCATCTTCGAGGTCCATGTCTTCCGCTGTTCGAGGACCAAGCGAATTTCTTCCCGCCATCATCCTGATGAGGTCCATGATGTCCTCCGGGAAGGTTGCATTGAGGAGTGGTGCACTGAGTTCCACTCGAAGATTGGGCCGCTTGTTTGGCCGTGCGAGTGATGTCTGGCTCTGGAAAAACTGGTGTAGGTGGAATCGGCTTTCCTTCGGCTTCCATTGCTTGGGTCCTTGGTGTCATTGCCGATGTCACCATCTTCTTCTGTTCTTCGCCAGGTCCCTCACTCTTCTCCTCATCTCCTGGAGCGTGGGTGACATCATCTTTCTTCTTGATTGTCTTCTTCACTGGAATCTTCCCCGGCTTAGTCTCCCTTTTGTCTGGCGGCTTCTTCTTCTCCTTTCGTTCGTCGCTCTTCTGCTTGGAGGGGTCATGTAGTAGACGAACATCCTGGGGCAAAGTCACGCATCATCTGCTCAGGTGTCGGTTTTTCCCCAGTGACATTGGTGTAGTGCTTGCCCGTGAAGGTCTTTAGAAGGCTGTCCATCGTCACGGCTTGGCGATAGATCGCAACTCCTTGCAGAGTTGCCTGGAGCTCCTCTCGTCGCGTGCATTCGCGACATTGGTTGGTCTTGGCCCGGATGAGCGTTGCTCCATGTGCCAGACATAGTGTGCTCCCTTCTTGTAGTAGGACTCGTACAGGACCAACCCAGTGACCTGTTGTCTTGCCCGGCTTGATCCTCTGTCGCCATAGCATAGCCAGGGATCCAACTTTGAAGGATTGAGGCGACCTTCCAAGAGCATTGTTGAGGCGAGACAGCTTGTACTTGGCATGTTCTTGTTCGAAAGCTATCCTTGCCTTCTCTTTGAGTCGCAGTTGTCCTCCAAATGCTTTCTTGGGTCTTGGGATCCAGTCCTGATGGAAGCTCTTCTTGAGGTGATGCGCCTCCACGGACCCATTGGAAGGCTGAGAAACCACTCGGTCCGATGGTGTGGTTGGCGCCATGCGCCGCTAGAGCGAAGGCATGGGCAATGGTCAACTCAGGCTCCTCCTTGAGTAGTCGCCTCACTGAGGATTTCAGGATGTTGATGCATCCCTCCTCGGCTCCCATGATCCAATGCGCTTCAGCAGGCGCAGTCATCACTCCGATGCCTGACCGAGAGCAGAAATCCAAAAAGGTCTCTGACGTAAATTGTGGTCCAGCATCACTGATGATCCAGGATGGACTTGGGTTCGTCATCAACCACTTCATAAAGCTGTTGACCACGTCTTGGGCCGTTGGTTCCCATCTGCTCTTGTACGTCATGAGGTGGTCAGTCATCACGAAGCCGCTCGCTCGATCTCTCCAGATCAGAAACTTGTCCTTCTCCTTGTCCTCGCCCCGGTCATATTCAAAAACGTCCACTCCGACAATCTCGAAGAGCTTGGGAGTCTGTCGTGGATGCCGGTGGATGTAGCAGGGGCTTTCGAGACTCGATGCAATGCCGGCAGTGCACCGCCCATTCAGGTGCCTTCCTTGCTCGTAGCAGGCGTTGCAAGTTCCCGAATGAAGAGTGCCCGGAGGATCGATGTATCCTCATCATCTGCTGCTTCACCAGTTCGAGTTTTCTTCCTGTGGGCGCTTCCTTTGGGAACTGATTTCTCGAAAGAGCGAACATCTCGGGCTCTTCCTTTCTCACCATCATCACATTCTTCTCCTCCTTGTCTTCAAAGGTCTCTGGAATCTCCAGGAGGTAGGTCTCGATGTCCTTGGTGATGGAGGTGTTGGTTCGTTCCTCACTAGCTTGCCAGGATCCCACTATCGCCTTTGTCACGGCCGTCACCATCTTTGATGGGTAGTATGCTGAGGCCTGTGCTGCAGGTCCACGGCATTCTGCGTGATCTCCATGGCCGGGACATTTCTTCTGAAGGCTCATCCACAAATTCCGGTTTGATGTCAGAACTGTCCAGTTCTTCTGGATTGGGATGCCCTTGTACTCCAAGCCGTAGGCACATCCATGGAAGCGACACCAGTAAACTGGTCTTCCAAGCTTCTTCATCACTCTCAGTAGGCGTCTGATCGCCTTGGAGTTCCAACCTTTCGAAGCTCCTGTGGGCCATTCCCAAGCAAAATCGGAGTCTTCTCTTGCCTCCAGGCTCAGCTCCACCGCCTCGGCTACCTCATCGGCTCTTTTCAAATCTTGCCCTTGCCGCCGTTCGAACTTGCCCCACTCTTCGTCAGATCTTGGAGTGAGGTTCTGAAGAGTTGACAGCCTGGTACATGGGAGAGAAATCCAGCTCATCCGAGGAGGATGTGTCTGGAACTCCAGGCTCAGCATCCTTGTGCCCATCTTGCGGTCAAGGTCGTAGCCACTGAGGTCCAGGTAGTTATACCTTTTGCAATGATAGCCCATCTCCTCCATCCTCGATGTCAATGCCGATGTTGGAGAGCATGCCACCTCCACAAAATCAGGGGCTTGAGAGAGATGCCCCATGAGCCCTTGAACCGGACAGGTCAAGCAGGCTCCCAAGACAGCGACCCCAGTAGCAATCTTCTTGGCCAGGCCAGGCCATACGATGTTCTTCTTGGATTGGGTCTTGTCGTCTGCCTTGATCGAATTGATGCCATGCCGATGAACTTGGGCATGAGCTATGGCCTCCTCACAGGTGCCATGTCGTGTGACCATCATAGGATTTCCCATCATCAAATGGATAGGGCCCCGACGAAGCGTCCATGTCGTGGTTCGTGGTGCTCGTAGTGCTCGTGGTGGTAGTGTCGTGTGCCGCCATTGCCTCGGGGGCGACTCCCTTCTCACCTGCCTTCCGGCTTCTCTCCATTGTCCTCCTCAGGACCCAGATTCGGTCCCATAGCCCTCCTTGCCGTCCTCCTTCTTCTCGGCTGCTTCCTTCTTGGTCTGGATCGGCAGGGCTGATGGTGATCCCGGCACCGTCTCCTTCTCGCTGTCGCTGGGGATCGTGATCACTCCACTGCCCAGGGCTTGATGGGCTTCCTCCGCCATCAGTTCCTCGGCTCTCTCCGCCCGACGCCTCAGCTCGGAGTTCTCTGCCTCCAGATAGGCCCGGGTCTCCACTGCATCCAGGTCCTTCGGGGTCGATGACGTTGCCATTGACTTGGCCGCCGCCTTTGCAGAGATCCTCGCCGAGTGCTCCTGAGTGATCTGGGTGATCGACTTGCCATCTGCTCGACCATGTTGCTCGATCCGCTTCATGTAGTCCGTGTAGGTCATGTTGATGGCCATTGTCTGACTCACCCCCAGCTGCAGCATCTTTCCCTTGATCTCCATCAACTTCCCATTGACCATCTGCTCGGTGCAATGGTCGGGTGGTATCGTCTGCTGCAACTCCTCCAGCGCAAGCCGAATGAGATGCGGCTCGGGCCCCATCGATCGTCTCTCCCCATGGCTCTTGTCCTTGGACATGTAGAGCGTCCGCAACCCGCACTTGGCGCAACTCACCCATGTAGCGAACTGGTTTGTTCGCTGGCGGCCCTCCTTGTGGTCCCCAAAGCATGGGTGGCCAGAGTGCCTTGGATCGTCGCATGCCGTTGGTGCCCGGGTGGTCATGTCCAGGCGTGCGGTGAACCTGCAAATCACGAAGCCTTTGGGCCAGACACTGCAAACGGCTTGAGACATCCAGGGACTGCTCACATGATCCAACAAGCGAGTGCTCCATACTTTCTGTCGACATCATCAACACTTGAGACTCCACTTGATCGGTTTCGGAGCTTGAGAATGGCACCTCCTGGGTTGAAGTCCGCTCCATGGCATAGATTGGAGCCTCAGCCAAATCAATCGTGAGATGTCCTGACTGTAGGGCTTGCATCTGTACTGAACGACTTGTCTGTTGTGCCTGTACGGTATCATTTCCACCATCATGAAACTTAATGCGACCATCTTGATATGACAGGACTGCATGCTTGCCACGAAGTGTTCTCGCTCCAATGAGTGGTGGTGTGGATTTGGCCATTCCTCCCAACACGTAGAATGAGATTGCTCCCAATGAAGTCCCAACCAAGTCTGCTCTGCTGACTGCCTGATCGCGGTGTCCGTTGCCAAATCTGAAGGTTGGTAAGTCCTCTTTGCAAACTGTGTATTGGAAGTGACCATGAACCACCAAATCATGCAATGCGTCAATCCCGATCGCGTTCTCAGTTGCCCCAGTGTCCAAAATCGCCCTGGTTGGTGCTCGACCATGTGAGGTGTGTTCATCCCACTGTGCCAACACTCCCGACAAGAAATAGGTCTTGCCCTTGGACGACTTGGAACCTTTCCCGGAGAAACCCTTGCCATAGCCCTTTCCTTTCAAGCTGCTCTTCCCTTTTGCACCTTTGCCAACTCCAACTGATTTGTCCTTTGGTGCAAATCTGTCTGGACACTGTTGATAGCCGTGTCCTGACATCCCGCAGATGAAGCAGGGTCCATGATGGGTCTTCGATCCACCCTTGGACGATGGTGAACTCGGCTTCGATCCTGTCTTCGCCTTCCCCTTGCCAGAGCTCGACTCAGGAGCGTAATACCCCCGAGCCAACCACACTTTGCGGACTGCCTCACGGGCTTCCTTGAGTGTTCTGTTCGCCTCGTTGGCAATGGCGAAAGCCTCTGACAACTGTGCTTCCTCCGGATCAGCTGATGTCTCATCAGGACATAGGTCTTCGTCTTCGACGTACCAAGCATCCTGCCACCAGTCTTCGATCCAGTCCTCGCCAGTCCAGTACGTTGGACTGCCATCATCCTCTTGATGCCATTCGCTCCAAGCCCAATCTGACCACCAGAGATCGTCCGACGGTCCTTCAATGTCATCTTCATCATACCAGTCCTGTCCAACAAAACTGTCAGTCCACCAAATCCGCTTTGTTCCAACTTGCTGTCTCTCAGAGGTCTCATCATTGTAGAGTGTCCTCAAAGCTCTCCTCACAAGATGGAAGCTGGTGGAGTTGGCCGTTTGTACCAAAACGTTCTGTCGCTCATGGCCGCTCAAACGACATGCCCGCAACAATCTGTAGCCTCTCAACTCATCTTCAAAGAAATCTCCGGATGCAGTCGTCGTTGTGATGGAAATGTTTGGGTTCCCAAATCACGTCCCCTCTCTTCTCCAGCACGATTCCCTGACATTGGGCTCCTCGATGGCGTCGACGGTGGGTCAACACGAACAGCAGGTCGGGTTGGAAGAAAATCCTGTCCCGGTGACATCCTGTCCAGCCTTGCTCTAGCCAATGACTGTTGAAGTTCTGTAAACAGTTCTTCCTGGCTGCAGTGCTAAGAGTTTCCACCAGAGCCCATTGAGGAACGTCACATGAGGTAACCTCCTGTGCGCCGGCAAAAGCCTCGCTGCCTCTAACATGATTTGGGTTCTCCTATAGAGGATTGACGCCCGCCCAAAACCAAGCTCTTGCCATCGCATGCATGGCTGCACAGTAAGCGAAATGAGCATAGCTAGCTCGTGGAGACAAGTAGTGGCTCCCGCTGCTACCGCAGTGATTTTTTCCCCCGGCCGGTCAACAGGCGCAAGCGAGGGACCATAGACGCACGTGCCATCCACTCTCGGATTAGTACAATCAAAGTCCCTGACTATCAGTTCGGCCACCGGTTCGCGATCTGTTCGCTTGAGATTGCTCCACTTGTCCAACCTGTTGAAACTATCTGGAACTGGTAGACGTTGAAGTGGGCTCTCACGGAGCAGTGCCAAAAACTGATTTAACCCGTCCTCATGATCAAACTGTTCGGGGTCAGCATATCGAACTATCGACTTCGCAGCACCTGACAGCTTTCGCCAGAGTCGGGCCACCACCAGTTTCCTCTCACTCTCCTTGGTGCCCTTCGAATACCATTTGCAGGCTGTGACGTACGATTCGAACGTTCCGGGGGAACCATCCCAGCTAGGAACATGATCGCGGTCCTCTGGCATCGGTTGCCGGGGTATTATTGAGCCCCCCGGCCTGGCTCCGCTACCATGCACGACGGAATTGCCACCTACCGGCAACTAGCAAACAGCGCACCTCATGCGCACCCTTTTGACCGCGCTGGTCATGAAGTCTCGAGCCCTCCCTTCGACTGCGGACCATGATTGGATGTTGGGTTACCATGGTGATTGCATGGGTCTTCCGTGAACGCACTTACAAAAGGACCACTCCTATAGTATTCCAGGTCGCTTCTTACAAGACGCACACCCACAATTGAATATCTTTGGACCCCCTGGTTGGGACGAACTGACAGTCCAGGTCTCCCATTGTCCAGTGATGCCCTTCACTGGTCCGCGGTTCGGCGTGCCATGAGGCCCAGCCGCCATCCCTTGAGTCAAATCATATCGAGTGCCTGGCGACGTAAGAAAGAACAGACCTGTCGCAATCTGGGGGAGTATGTGCCACGTCGTCACACCTGCACCCAAGAAGACTAAGCTTTGATGGACATCTATCAGCTTGTGAAGGGCTGGCAGTTCTTCCTAGCCCCATTTCATACTAAAATCACCTATTTACTTGCAGTGGGCATGGTCTAAGAGATAATTATGCGTTCCCGCTCAAGCTCCCGCAAACTTGCGTTTCATTATTGATTCAAACCAACCCATGCACTAATTGTGGGCTGGTGGCTCAAAATCTTCTCAGAAGAAAAGACAACTGTCTTCTAATCATGTGCTCCAAGTTCCACCCAAAGTGCCCACTGCCCAGGTCGAGGCCGGCTCGGTTTCCTAAAGCAATACAAGTTATATAAGTGCCATAATATAATACTGGACCATACCCCGCCCCAACTGAAACCAACAAGTATCTTCATCTTCGAAAGCCTCTGAATGTGCAAACGAACATTGTCCATGGCAAGCCCATCTTCCACTTGCCCGAGAACTGTGGCCACTACGGCGGCCTAAAGCCCAAACTCCAACTGCATGTCCTCACTGCAAAAAAAACACTTGCGCCCACCCTCCCCAGACTCCAAACTCAGCTTGTCACCTTCTCCAGGCCCAAACCTGGCCCCTGGGCCCCTCAACTGGACGCCCCTCGGCCCCCCTCGGGCCCAGTGCCTTCGTAGTGATCTCGTAAGGCCTCCATGACCATCTCACGCGTCACCGAGTGTTTGGGAGCTTTCCTCGCTTCGGCTTGGCACCGGAGGCGTTGACGCCCCTGACATCCCCGTGAGTGACCGAGTTTCGGGTGATCGTTTGGAGACGATACTGGTAAAAACGGACAAGTCTCGGTGGAACATACTCTACGCTTGGACATGAAAAGGACTTGTTGCTCGGTGCAAGTTTCACGGAAGGTGGGTAGGGATTCTTAGTCTTTGGAACATTGCCCAGATCGGGATCCAGCTTCGCGCCCTCGCTGGGGCTGAGCAAACTGAAGATTCGCCACATCCGTCGGCCACTGTAGTATGCCAAGAGATTCGTCATGCTCTCCTCATTTGGCCGAAAATAGATACTATACATGATATATATAATATATATATATATGTGATTGTGTGATCCTAGGATATCCAAGGAATTGGCCCGCGCATAGCTGCTGAGCGCTTCAATAGCTGTGAACAAAAAAATAACAAAAGCACCCAACAGCGAATTCCAAGTTTTGGGAACTTGAGTCGCTCAAGTGCTTATGTACCGGCCCTTACCTCAGTGGCCTCAACGCCAAGCTCACCGTTTGTCTGTCATTCATTGTGATCAAGCGTGTGGCACAGGCCCTGCAATATCTTCATGGAAGCCTGGGAAACTGACCTGCTCAACAGGTTCTGATTGCATTCTGAGCTTCAATCTGACCTGGTGGTGTGTTCTCCTTGTTGGGTTGGTAGCCATAAGCACCAAAGAAGTCAAAGTCTCCGGGATACTTGGCGTCGGATGCGCGCCACCAGCCCATCTCCTCTGCTAAGTGCGTCACGCCCTCACTGAACAAGTTGTTCTCGGCATCATTCAAATCTAGGCTTCGAATGGTGAAGGAGTTCCCCACGGCCGCCACATGATCACTTGGCAAGCGCTGTGCAGCCCAAATGGCACTGGCATTCTTCTTTCCGGTCAACACGTTGAAGACCCACATATCACCAGGCTCTGCGTCCACCACAACCAAAGCTTCTGAACTGCCACTGTAGGCTGGTGCATCAGGGCTTCCCGTGTCTGCGCTATAGAAGCCTTCCTGCACTGCGATGTCCCCCATGGTTTGCACGGCACATCTCGCCGTCTTACACCGTTCCAACGCCAGTTTGGTGAGATCTTCAATGCCCACCTTGTTGTGGCCCCAAGGCTTATCCTTCGTAGCCGCCCAGCCCGCGGTCATAGCGGTAGCGGTGGATTCACCGATGGATAAGCCCCATTCATTTTGCATGCCATACCTCAGGACCCGATGGTACGCGCGGACGGGGCTCGCTGGCCAGCATGCACAAAACACAAAGCATGCTGAGTGTCAGTCTTTCCCAATGACCACATATAAGAGTTGGTCATAGTATATGTTATATGAATCATATATATATATATATATATATATATATGTGAGTCAACTACCAACTATATATGGTACATGAGTATATACTTGAGGTATATGATGGTAAATGAGTTGGTCATTGGAGTCAATTACCCTATGCTCTGTATACGGAGTCAATTATCATGGGCGATCGCCTCTCACACGAGTTCACCTCAGAAGGCGAGACGCTCGGTGTCCCAATAGGCCCAGGTTTCTTCGGCTTGTGGGATCTCCCCGATCGCTTCAAACTCCTCGCCGATGCCCGGGGAATGGCTTGGCGGAGATGTTCACTGGTTCTTTCCAGCCCAAGCTCTGGGGAGACCAACCCATGCCAAGAAATGGAGCTATGAAGTATGGACACTGAACTCTTGCAATTAGTACTGTAATGGACATTCAATGCACATTCTATGCCAAATTCGTGAATGGCATTGAATGTCCATCACCTCTTGTGACGCTGTGCATCTCAAGCAAGCACCTCCAACCCAAAACGCCAGTCCTCCTGTCCCGGCAAAGGATGATAATCCGGTGCCATCTCCTTGCTCACCATGCGCGGATAAGGGATATGCCACTCATACAGCTTGCGTGTGGCGCCTTTTGGCCATTGACGCCGTGGCACGCGCACGAGGCGCACGTCCGTGGTGCTGGGGCCACTGTCGTCACTGTGTGAGACCATTGGAAAACCTCATCCAATCTCAGGTGCATAAACTGAACAACACCGTAATTCTTGATTGCAGTAACAAGCTCCTCCTTTGGATTCCTTTGGACTTTGGAATGACTTTGGACTGCAGATCTTCATGTGTGTTTTTCTCATCAACAGTCTGCATGATCCGGATGCTTTTGTTCAGGTATACATGGAAAACGAACAAAACGAGTTGAAAAAGTGACCTGATTGGGCGATGACACCTGTGGCACTGGCATCCTTCCCCACGGCAATGATCGTACAAGCCTCATTGGGTATAAGGAGGGTGTTGAGGAGCAGCAAAATTGCTGACATAGCTCCTTTCAAGCGGAAGGCCAAGTCGGATATGCAACCTGTCATTCTTCGTCTGCAAATGGTCATGCTCAACCTGTAGCGTAAAGCTGGACATTTGATAATATGCTATAATTTGGGCAATGTGTCGCAATAATGTGTGGATACATATGCATCATGATACATATAAGAACACATCTGATAATCCCGATGCAATGGCCGGGTGCAAAATCTTGTGTTTGAGCCAGATCCACGATCACGGCACTAAAGAGGCAGGAACAATGTCGCTTTGTGTGATTCAGTAAAACATTTCAGGGAGGACAAACCTTTGTTGGCCATGCTTCTGATCATTTGTTTGTTGCATCAACAGTGGGTCTCGATCAAAGCATTAACCTTGTGTGATTCTAATGTCCAACTTTTGCAAGCATCATATGCATTAAACCCATTGCCATTTACCAAACGACCAACAATTTGCATTTTTCAGTTGTGTCATGAGCCGATTGGACTATGACTTCCTGCACTGCAATGGGAGGAGAGCAGCGCTGAGATCCGACCGATGGGAACCGGGCGTCCGGCGTCCGTCACTAAGGCTGCGCCCGCGGCAAACCAGCGAGCGCCTCCTTGCAAGGCAGCGGCGTGAGATCCCCAAGCTGACTGGCAGCGACTGGAACCCACCCCCTACTCTAGCCTATTCTAACCCAAAGTTTAAAACGGGGTGTCCATGATCCATTCACTGTGGTTTTGGAACCACCTTTTGGAACCCCTTGGTTTAACATGTTGCAAAACAACTTCGTCGTTGTGAGACGAACTGCATGGGGCAAAAGGGACTGCGTGTTCGTTCCAGTCCCCGTGGTCACATTTTGTTGCGTTCTCCTGCGTTTGCTTACCTTGGTCCTTGTTTGTTTATGTTGGCTATATGTAGTACATATAAATATAAATATATATTATATATATACTACATATATATATATATGTGCATAATTGTATATATTTATTTCATGCCTGTTCCTGCATATCGCTGCATGTCCATGGATCCAATTGAATACTGTCTCTTCTTGAATTGTCTTCCTCTAATGAATTCCACTCAGGGAGGCAGCTCAACATCTGATATCCCCTCCTCTTCTTGTTCTTCTTCGTCCTGTTCCCTCGCGAAGCGGACAAACACCTGGATGTAGGAACTGACGATGGACCAGGACGCCCAAGACACCACGCAAAGTGTGGTCTCAACATGTGAAAATATTCCGAATGGATAAGAGTCCCCGTGAGACATACAACCGTCGCATTCCCTGCATCCCTCCACAAAATAGAGCCCCTTTCTTCAGGCGAGGAAACGCATGTTCGGAAAGTTCAGCCACTTTTCCTCCAGCGCATCTGCAAGGACAAACAACATGCACCATGCATCAACATCCTCTGCTCACTTTGGGGGTTGTGTTGTGTTAACCCCCCTGCAAGAAAGAGAAGAGCGCAAAGGCTCAGGAAATGGCATGTGTTTATTCTTCTCTACTTTCGCTTTTCTCTGGCCTTTGGGAGGTGGCTCCGGCGGCGGCGGAGTGAAGGACTACGACGTCACAGTCACCCGGAACGTTGTCGTCCCGTCACCCGGGTGAGGTCCGGCGACCTCGGGCGTCCAACGTGACGAAAACATGGCCTGCTCCAGAGAAGGCTGTGTGATTGAGTAATCCAAGACCTCCAAGGCGGCCATATTCTTCTGCACCTGACGAAAACTGACACTTTACTCCGCAGGGCCATGGGATCTCATGAGTGTAATCATGTAGGCTTCAAGTTGGTGGACAGGAAGCGAAGACGAACAGGCATAGCAACCGCCATGGCACGCTGGGGCGTCCATGTAGTTAGATTTCATTACCTAGATGTCCTCTGTGTTTCTAGCTTTCTTCTAGTAAAAAGGTATATGCATGTACATGAGACTGTCTGCATGCACATCCCAAACACCCACCCACCCACTCCACTACGAAGTGCCCTTCACCACTGCTCCAAACAATTTGTTCCTTGAAACTTGGTTGCATAGAGAACGGTCTTTTCTGCATCCTCTCCACGAGTCTTTCGGCTCCACCTCTTGGAAAATGGCGCCCAAGCTTCCAGAGTCCTCGAGAGGCTTTTGATTCATGGAGATTCACAAAAAAAACTGCACTCCCACACCCAAACGCTAGAATGTATGAAAGGGTTATATATATATATATATGCCACACCTGCACAGTAGCTGGCGACAACGTGTGGCAGCAAAACATGTTCGCCTTCTTCCGCCTTCAAACACTTGCATTGCTCGAGCAAGTTTCCACTCATCGTCCTCTTGTCATGTTGGTCTAAGCCAGTACGGCGCTGCACACTGACTGCCATCCGCCAAGTGTCCACAAGCCAAGTTTGCTACTCAAGTTCCAGCTGCTGTTCCTTGGATCCTATATATGGCCCAAAGTCATGCATTGTTTACGAAGAACAACTCCCACATGCTGAACGAAAGCGCGGTCCTGTGACAATGCTGGCAGTTGGAACAGGAACCTGCCAAAGGACATGGTGGTCTCAGTCTCGACACACATCCCAGGTGGAGGTAATGACAAAGGTCCGGAGCTTCAGTCAATGGTACGACATGGTACGGCATAATATCACAGTCGATGGCTTGCACCTGATGCCAATTCCAAAAACAATTTGTGTTTTTCATATTCTGCTGCAACGCCACTAGGTAGTTCACTTTGCTGGTATTGTGTCCCCGAACATGAGGAAGCTAGGAAAAAATTCCCAAACACACAATCATCACACCGCAATCGGCATCATCGTGCCAAACACAATCAACATTCTAAACATATCAAAACATTACGCAAATTTACTTACTTAGACTCTGATCTGGGTCGTTGCTGACAAACCATCCCATAAAGTCATGGGCCAGGCCAGGAACTGAACCCAGATGCTCAAATGGCCGCTCCATTGGCCTCCCACCATGCTGCTCCAGCAGGCTGCTGCCAGGAGCGATGGTCTCGACAAAGCGTTTGAACTCCTGATGTCGAGACCATGATGGGATGTCTCTGCCACTGCCATGCCAGTGAATACATGATCAAACTATGAACTGCCATAATTGGCCTTCTTAATCCTTTTATTGTGTCTGTCTGTTCCAATCGCAGTGATCTTCGACCATGGAACCCTGCATGTGGGAGTGAATCAACGTAAATCAGCATGGCTTAGGAAGGCCTACGCTTGGTTCCCCGGATCCAGGTACAGCCTATAAGCCATAATAAAAGAATTAAACAAATAAAAACATACAATAAAAATACGACTGGAAAATACAAACTAACCAGTTGTATTTTTTTGAAAGTACACTTTCGATTACCCTAACAAACATGCAAAACTGCAAGCAATATTCACGTAAATTGCTACTTGATACGCATTGATATGGGTGGGATGGGAAGCTGGCCCCCTTGTTTTTTGGAGCAGCCTCTCGTGGTTGTCGGGTAGCCTGACCACGTTTCGCTGGTTGTCAAAAAAATTGCCAGTGGTTTTCGCCGCTTCGCAGTTCGAGGTTGAACATTTGCATTTTTTTAAAATACGGAACAAATACGAAAACAAAATTGTATTGCTTAAAAATGCAAAACATACGACATTGTTTGTATTTGTCAAAAATACAAACAGTACGAACAAATACGAAGAAATACTAAAATAATATACAAAATAAAATACAAAAACACAAACAAAAACAAAACAACAAAGATACAAAAAATGAAAAAAAACACATACAAAAAAATACGACCCGCGAAGAACATACAAAAACATATACGAAACAAATACGATGTTACGACCCGCGAAAAAAGAAAAAAACACAATACAAAAAAAATCAACACGATGCGACCCGCCAAAAAACAAAAAAGAAGCCGAAACGGGTTGCGAAACCAAATTTTGTATGTGTTTTTTGTTTTTCTGCCGTGTCGACGAGGGTGTTTGCTGATTTTGCGGCCCGACTGCGTTTGTTTCTATTTTGCCACAACGCAAAAAAACAGCAATTCGCGCAAATATTTCTTGACAACACATTCAAAATTCAATTGGCTTGGTGGGTGCTATTTGCATTGTGGCCCTCATTTGAGTATGATATTTGGGAACCAGGGCCAGTTGGGATGTAGAACCATGCAAAAAAAGTTGCATTTCAGGGTTGTATTTGTTTATATTGTTTTTGTATGTTTAATGTTTTGGGTTTCTTAGCCTCTACCTGGAAGGAGGGGATTCAAGCCTACGCCTTGCGACAGGGACATTGCCATAAAAGCCTGAGACGAATCCTTCACACTGAAAGGAGCGCAAAAGAGACCCCCAGCTTGAATTAGAGCACTTAAAAGTGCCAATGAATCGCATCAAATGAGCCTTCCAACCACCCTTTTGAGGCTCATGGTCGAAATTGCTCTCTTGCTCTTGACCCGCTTTGAATTTGCAAGAGGACAAATTGTAAAACTGGTGAATATGAGAGATCCAGCTGAGCAAGTCCCGCAAACATGGTTGGAGCTTCGGGGATGTATATATAACCAACAAACCTGGCCGAATGCAAATGAACAATAACATACAATTTGGCAATTGAGGGGTCTTTGTGGTCATCAGAATCTCACTGAATCGCCGCGGATTGCACTACCAGGCAACTGGCTCTCTTTGTGGTCTTCTTTACCCGAACACGGTTAAACCACACACCGAACACCGAGTGGGAGAGGATCTGCACTCTGTCCAACAAAGGGTCTGATGATGTCAGATGTAGCGAACCGTAGCGAATCTGTATAGAAAAAGACATCTGGAATCATGGTTTTCCAGCTGCCAAGCAGTTGCCGCGAAAACCGTGGCACCTCCGCACGCAAGCGTCGTATCAAGCGATGATTCGGATTGATGAGTCACTCCTGCGCCTTCTCCTCCCAAGCATCTGGGCCTAGAAACGAGCTCGACCAGAGCACAAACGTCCACCCACCCATGGGAGCTTGTAGCCTGACATGTCAGGGTCCAAGACCGGTTCCAAAAATGGTCTGGACTGTTCACCTGGTTCATTCACACTGCAATTTATTTCCAGTCTCTTCACTGCCAGGATCTTT